TAAAGAAATGCCTTTTATTATTAAACGAATAATCCGATACAAGTACCAAAAAGTATTGGCCTCTAGGGCTTACACCAACAATCTCTCCCTCTTGGAACACTCTTCTTAGCAATATCCTTTAGCAAACATCCTAGCACATAAGACAAGCGAATGGTTCCCATCGAGTATGATGGATGTGGAGGATTTTAATACCTTCCCTTTGCATAACCGACTTTCGAACCCATAATTTGGTTGCAGACCATCTTATCCTTTTTCTTCTTGGGGTTTTCTTGATGTTTTCCCTTCCCCTTTTAGGATAAATAAAGTTTGATGGCAACTCTCCTGTTTTTCCTTTTTCACCTCCACGATGTTGCATTTTTTGAGTAGCAGCACCTATTACTGACACTGTTGATACAAATGTTCATATGTCTCTCTCTAAGATCTTGGTTATTGACCCTGAGTTTGTGTTGTGCCAGATGCCGCAACATCCTTGTCCTAACCTGATCATCCTGTTGAAACCACACAAGAGAACTCTCATAGTGAGTCTCTTGAAAAATCGCAAGAGAATGTGGCTGAAGATGATTCTCTTGGTGGTAAAAGAGATGATTCTGATGATAATAGTATGTACACTGAAGAGGAGAAAGATATGTATGACAAAGAAGATAAAGAAGAAAGTGTTGGTGTGAAGAAGTATTAGTTTACTAACATTGTTAATGTAAATGGTCTAGGTTTTGACAATAAGCATATAAGAAAGAAATTGGCTCTTAGTATTGCTAAAAGATTGAGGAACAGAAAAGGGAAGGTTGTCGTGTCTACAAGCAAGCCTTCTAAGACATCCAAGAAAAATCCTAAGGTTGGACCTGGCAAAGGATGGAGTAAAGTTGTGGCCCTTGCTACCAATAAAAAGTCATTGAAAAGAAAGGAAGTGCCCTCAAGTGACTCTGAGTTTGATGTTGAACAAGTTGTTCAAGACATCATGCCTTCTGCTAAGAAAAGAAGGTGTTGATGTGGATCAAAGTTTGTACAGGAGTATGATTGGTAGTCTGTTGTGTCTTACAGCTAGTAAACTAGGCATCACTTTTGTTATAGGAGTTTGTGCTAGATATCAGGCTGAGCCTAAAATGAGCCACATTAATCAAGTGAAAAGAGGATCTTGAAATACATCAATGGTACTAGTGATTATGGCATGTTGTATTCTCATAGTACTAATTCAATGCTTATAGGGTATTGTGATGAAAATTGGGCAGGTAATGTTGATGATAGAAAAAACACTTCTAGAGGATGTTTCTTTTTGGGGAACAATCTTATCTCTTGGTTCAGCAAGAAGAAAAAATGTGTGTCCTTGTCTACTGTTGAGGCTGAGTATATTGCAGCTGGAAGCAGTTGCTCTCAATTGATTTGGATGAAACAAATGCTAAAGGAATATAATGTCAAGCAGAATGCCATGACATTATATTGTGACAGTCTGAGTGCAATCAATATATCCAAGAATCTCATCCAACGTAGCAGGACTAAGCATATTGACATTCGTCATCATTTTATTAAGGACCTTATTGAAGACAAAATTGTTACTCTTGAGCATGTGGTCACTGAAAAGCAACTACCAAACATATTTACAAAAGCTTTGGACGCAAATCAGTTTGAGAAGTTAAGGGGCAAATTGGGAATTTGCACGTTTGAGGAGTTATAGCGATTACAGATGTGGAGGAGTGCAACTGATACTTTCTTTTCCCTTCATTCGATGGTGAATCTTATTGAGGATGCTGGATTGATGAATAATGTTACTGGTTTTGGTGACTATTATGAGATGCTGGTTTTGGTGAAGAAATTTATTGTACACATTTTTTAGGACTGTGACAGTAAAATGAGAAAGGAGTACAAAAAGGTTTATGACAGAGATAAATGTGTGGAGTTTTCTCCTGAAATTATCAACAAGTTTATGGGTAGGAGCGAGGAGGAGCAAGCTGAGGTGGAAGTGACTAATAATGGTGTTATTCTTAATCAGCACCCCAGTATTTGGTCAGTTCTGATATTGCATTTAAGATGAAATCTCCTCTTTCTTTGCACTATGGGTTGTTTGCAGGGACACATGTCCCAGACATTGTTGTGTCATCTAGTAAGATGGTGATAAAGATGAGAAAGCATATAGTAGTGCTGACATATATTGTGCCCTATCTTTTTTATTGCTTATGTATCTGCTACAACGGTTGTTTTTTCTCCTGGTGAATGTATGGTTGTTTTGTCAAAAATATGGCTAAAAAGGGGGAAATGGTTAGTTTATTTACCCTTAAGGGGGAAGTACTACTTGAGAGGGAATAATAATTTTTTTCTCTTGATCTGATGTTTAAGGGGAACGCGATGTTTTGATGTTGACGTGACTGTGAGATGCTTGAGGTAATAACTGATGTCTTGACATCCTAACTAAAGTGATTATATGTTTGATGTCATACCTGATGTCTTGACTTCTTGTTTGGGAGAATTTATTTTTTCTTTGCAGAAAGTTTGTATTGTGAGAGTTTATTTCTCTTTGATGTGACATTCTATGTGAGGCTAGTTTTATCTTGTTCTGCTGTGTATGCCTCTGATGTGTCTTGGTGAAGTTCCAAGTTTGTTTATTGTGATTTTTCTTTAAAGAAGTGCTCTTGAGTTTATTGGTTGTTACGAGATATGTTTTACAAAGGTTGTTTTAGCCAAAATTTGTCAAAGGGGAAGATTGTTAGGTTACTTGCCTTATGATTGACTGCATTTTGTTAAAACAAGTATTCTAGTGAGGTGTTGTACAAGATGTCTTACATGTTGGTGCGATACTGAAGCATATCTTGTTTTACATTCTTGGAAAAAAATTTAAGTGTGAGATCTCTAAAGATTCTTTGAAGATTTGATTCACATATTTTGTGGTCCAAGAAACATGTGTTGTTAGATGCAAAGGTTGGTTATATATTTTCCTTGTTTCCTAAGAGAGGATGTAAAATCATTTAAGGAAACATTTGATTTGATTTGATTCTGCAGAAGATTGTGTAGCAGTTGTAGTTGGATATGCATTTAAGGAAATAATATGTTCTCTTCAAGAATATTATGTATCTGTATTTAATAATATATTCTCTTCTAGAATATTATGGATTTGCTATTTAATTTAGCCCGATTTGCTAATCATGCTCATGCTTTTTGTAGGTTATTTATAAGAAGACTCTAAACCTAAAGAAAGATAGAGAAGTCGTATTGCGTGAAAGATTTTTTTAGGATTTTGTTTGTTCATTGTTGTTTGTGAGCCACTCTTGTATCACCTTGACACTAGAGCTAAATTTTTTTAGTTGAGTTGTATGTGTGAATCACTCATGAGCTTTTAAGCAAGAGTGGATTCTGTTTATTGGAGTGTGTCTCCTTCTTTGATTCTTATCTTGTTATCATGAACTATTTGTTCTAAGAGGAAGTGAGAGGGGTCTCATATCTAAGAGAGTCTTAGATAGAAATAACATGGGTGGTGAAGAAATGTTTTGAAATCTTTCCAACTAGGGGGCAGTTTGTCAATTATGACAGCAATCTGAAATTGTTCATCGAGGGGCATACCTTCAGTTATGATTTCATGAGCAATTTTTTGGATTTCGTGGCTTTGAGCTTCCACAGACTTTTCATCCACCATCTTGTAGTTCAAGTAACAACTTACAACATATTTTTTTACATCTGCTTCTTCAGTATCATATTTCTTCTCTAGAGCTTCCCATACTTGTTTAGCAATCTTGCAATTACTGTAATAGTCGTATAGATCGTGAGCAAGGTTGTTCAAAATGCGATCTTTGCAGAGATAGTCCTCTCATGCAATAACATGATTTTTTTCTTAAGATATAAATTACTCACAGCAGATTCATCAGTTTTAGCATTTGCATATGAATATGCAGAGTTCTTACCATTAGTTTGTTTGGTTGATCCAGAAGGAGCAATAGGGATATCCTCAGACAAAACATGGACAACCTTCTTTAAAGTTAAGAAACTTTTCATCTTAGCTTGCCAAAGTTTGAAGTGAGAGAACCCTCAAACTTAAATGATTTGTCAGAGACAACAACGATCCCAATAACACCGATAATTTTTCAGTAGCTATGACAGTCAAAGCAACGTCTTAAAATTGTTGTTTTTGGTTTTTGAAAAAATTGCCCCATAGAAAATTATCGGGACGAGTCGCGTACTAGGTCGCTTTCTTTAAGACGTTTCGCCGTACTACCAATAATTATGCAATGCAATCGAGTTTCGACGACATCTCCAGGATAAAACAGCTCATTCAAATTATGATAATCACTTGCAATGTAATGAACTGTTCAAAGAAATACACCTTCAGATAGTGTTCAAATCACTCATAGTATCTGGAAATAATATATTCGTTGATGGCGCGATAAGCCATTTGAAAACCATAACAGAAAAAAATTTGAGATAAAGAGAATGAGAGGAAGGAAAGAGATTTCGAAAGGTTCAAAAATCTGGAGTGAGTTGCAAATGAATTGAGGAACTCTATTTATAGGCAAAGGATTCAAGTGAGTGGAGCAAAAATCGTGGGAAGGAGTTAAAAGTTTTAGGCTCATTACTGACCGTTTTTGCTTGATTAGCAAGTCAAACTCAGACTTATTTTTGGATGACAAGCCAAACTCAGTCAAAACTAGGTTAAGACTAAATTTTAGGTAACAGATCATTAATGTTAAATAATTAATATTAATTAATTTCTATAAAATCAATTAATTAATAATTAATTTCCCCTGAAAAAATTAATTATTTCATAATTAATTAAATTTCACTAATTCGAATTCTAAAAAATTAATTCATCTAGACCGAATCGAACCGACCAGACAGCGACAACGCGCGTGTCTAAATGGCTTGGTGATGTGTCCTCATTCCTTTACAAAATTGGATATCCCGTATGGCATAATCCATTTGGTAAATTTTTATTTATCCAAAGTGGATTCTTGAGTTTCTTCATCAAAAGTAGATTCATCCAAATTTCTTGCAACGTCACTAGCTGAACGAATTTTACAGTGTCAGAAGCAATTCGCTATTGTTTCTTTTCGAACATCTATCGTCCAAGCTGGGATTGGCAAATCGATAGCATCAAGGACATTTATCTTCCCTGGATCAAATTGTCCCACCTCATAACCTTCTAATATTTTACAGTAAAACCTTCTACGGTAATGCATCTTGAAAGCTCTTATTATCCCAACATCGCAAGGTTGAATCTTTGATGTCATGTTGGGTGGCAAGAAGAACAACTCAACGTTTCTTAGCCCTTCAATATTTCTTGGATGTGCTGGACAATTATTCACCACAAGTAGAACTCTTCTACCATGCATCATTTGGTCAAATGAACGAACATATTTATCAAAAAACATACTAGTCATCCATGCTTTTTTGTTAATTTGATACTGATAATCCAAGCTATTCATGTTGACATTCTTGAAGCAACGAGGCTTTGCATATTTTCCAATAATCCATAGAGGGATTTTTTCAGAGCCATCTTCATTGCAACAAATAACTACCGTCAGCCTTTCCGTATCTTGTTTTCTTCCTTCAAGTTGTTTTATTGTCAGTGAATGATCACCTTGTAGCCTATAAAACAACCCAGTTTTATCCATATTGAAAACATCTTTCATAGGGAACTGATCAATTTTCTCCCGAATCGATACCAATTTCTGCTCCATGTCTTGTACATCAACAGACCCACTCTCGCCAAAACGACGAAATGACTTTATGCCATGTCGGTTCTTAAATTTCCCAAGCCATCCTATAGAGAAGTTGAAATCTGAATCATCATGAGGGTATACGAGTTTCATTGTATCTCTTGCCTTCTGCAAAATTAATTCTCCTGTGATATTCACACGTTTTTGCTGATTTGTGTCTTTTGATCTCTGCTCTTCCCTTTTTGAGTTCTAAGGTTCGCTGCAACGTAATTCTAAGAGGCATAGACTAATTTTCCTTTTTATTTGGTATGTACAGTATAATTACTTAAAAACTCTTTAAATTAATAATAATTAATGTATCGATAAATTAATAACTCTCTAAATTAATAAATTTATCTGGTTCTAACATTATTAATTTAAAGAGTTTATACTGTATATACATTACTAATATTTGTATTTCCTCTTATATGAGACTAAAATGAATCATTTCAAATTCACTTTCATATTAATTCTTTCTTATGCTTATTTATTATCAATTTAAAATCAATAAATCATTTCAATTCTCACTCCAAAATTTTCATCCGCAATTATCATAGGAATGGTTTGTCTCTAAGTTTTGGACCATAAAAGGACACTTATATCTTAAAGATGAATCTTGTTGATTGTAATGGAATGGAATATCTCCATTAATAATCTTGTTTATATAAAAAGATTAATATACAGAACTTTTTAGTAGAAAAGTTTTCGATCTAATTATAAACAATAGAGATCTCTAATCATTCCTTTGATTTCATGGCTTAGTTTGCGCCTAATGATGAGTAATGAAAGTAGTGGTAGTGCAGTGTGCTTTCGGCTAATAAAAGTCACTAGTTAAATTAAATTCAAGAGCAGCCTGGTTTTGCTAAGCACTTTTCTTTCCATGGGTATTTTTTTCAACGGTTCTTCTCCTTCCATATCATTATTATGATATTATTATATAGGAGTATTTGTCATGTGAAATGAATGAACATCTCAATCAGAAAACAAAACAAAAAACATTCAGAAAACAAAAAGTCATATGAATGAACATCTAAGCTTTATGTCCCATCATGCTCAGTTACGATTTGTTTTTTTTTCCTTCCCTTTTTCAACTCCGTTTTTATAATTTTAAATTTAAGTACCGTACAATAATTTGTAGGTTAACAACGTCATTTTATTGATCACTTTATTTTTATTGACTCACTAAATTGATCTCTATTTTAGAATTCACTGGTTTTTATTCTCTAAATATACAATTTTCATTTTTAATTTTTGTTAACTTTTAAGAAGAGTTTGATCATCTAAATTTTATGCTATTAATTTTAATTTATGTTTTCTTTTACAAAAATGTGCGTTTTATTTTCTAAATGAATTTTATGGCGTTAATAAGATTTCAAATTTTAATTATATAATTTTTAGTTTTTAATAATTTATCAATTATTTTAAATTAAATATTAAATTATTAAAATAAAAGTTAAATCAATAAATAAATAAATTTTTTAAATTTATATCTTCTAAAAAAATTACTTGACAGTAAATATTGAAGAAAAACGGACACTAAAATTGATAAGAGAAAAATATTAAGAGATCAAAGTTTGAAAATATTAGAAATTAAAGTTGAAAGTTTATATTTTAAATTTTTTTTAAATAATATATAATTCTAAAATAAGGTGATATATTTTAATGTCATAAGATAAGATTTCGTGTTAAAAATTAGTTAAACTAATTGTTATTTACATATTGTTATTTGAATTTTAACATTAAATAACTTCTAAAATTTAAACTAAACTTTAGTAAAATTTTCTCAAGACTTCTGAAACCCACAATCTACATTGCCAATAGTTTATAACATATCATAGGAATAAATGTTGAGGAATCTGTTAATGGGAAACTATATCCACCCCACGATTCAAGGGGAAGCGGTCCCACGTTTTAGGTGAATGAGCTTTCAATATATACCCTATTTCTAGAATGGGAAAATGACTCCAATTCTTGAGAAATCCAATCAACAAGGCATCTCACAACCCTGACATGAATAAACCATTAGTATATCATAAACTCTAATATCATATAGCCTTAAATAATTAAGGGTTATTATCTCATTATATTTTTTAACAAGTACAATTGACATCTATTGTGGGACATACCTAAGTTTATTAGGTGAGAACATGGACTATGGACGGTCTAAAAGGGATGAATAGACCTTCCAAAATAAAACTTTCATTTGGAAAAGATTTTTATCAGAGTTTCTGATCTGACCTGATCAGAAGGGAATCACTGAGTTGTCACGCGTTTTTGATCTACTGCTTGTTCACTGGTGGTAAGAAGGAGGAGGGGGTGTACCTGCAAGACACTCCAATGCCAAAATGAGAGAGGACCAGAGTGAAGCAAATACAGAGAGAAGGTGTAAAGAGTTGAATCTTTGGTTCTCTGCTCGGAGGAACGGGGAAGTTAGGTTCCCACAGACGGTGCCACTGATCTGACCTGATCAGAAGAAAATCACTGGACTGCCACGTGTATTTGATCTATTGCCTGTTCATCGGGGGTAAGAAGGAGGAGGGGGTGTACCTGCAAGACACTCTGATGCCAAAATGAGAGAGGACCAGAGTGAAGAAAATACAGAGAGAAGGTGTAAAGAGTTGAATACCTGACCCTCTTGTGAAAGAGGGTATTTATAGTGAGACCCCAGCGCTGGGCCAACGGTCACTTGTATTGGGCTGGATTGCCAGGCCCAACCCAAGGAACTGCTAAGGCTTACGTGGCATAGTGAAGACCAGGACGTGGTTTTCGCCCTAGGTCAACTGCCCCGTGATCTCTGGAAGGTGGGCTGACCTGCTCTTTCGGAGGTGGGTTGTTGTCTGGTGACGTGTCCCCACGGAGGGGAGCACGTGGAGAACGTGTGAGGCACACGTCTTTCTGCCCGACGGGGAAAGCGTTCTGCCCGGCTATCAATGTCTGGTCGACGGGAGCCTTGTGCTCGACACATATGAGGAAGGCTCCTTTGGGCCTTTCTCCAAGTATAGGTGGGTCGGACCTTCCTGGTCAAGCTGAGGCCCAGGCCAGAACAGTTCATATTGAGAGATTATGTAAAACTTTGCATGGCAGAAGCAAAGTTTGCGTAAAAAGATATTTGGTTATATTGAGAGATTCACAAATGTCTTTAATATGTTAACCATATATCCAATTGAACTATTGAAATTCACCGAAGTACAAACTAATTGAATTGTAAAAATGTTCAAATTCACAATATGTGTTATCAAATATTTTTCAATTATGCATAAGATTCTACTATCATAGTCTTCAGACTTAAACCACATTACTTCAAGATTGAATTAATTCTGATAAAACCTGCAACTTATGTAACAAATCGCTACTAACAGATAAACATATCAACATGAAATTCTAAAGAAATAAAAACAATTTAATCATGCGATCAACCACAAAATTAAATGAGAGAGAGAGAGAGTACACTGAGACTTATAGTGGTATGGTACATTCATCCTTGCTTTGTGCATAATCTACTCTCCAATTGTTGCCCATTTAAAATTCGTTGGTATTCAACTATGATTTGTAACAATATTACAAGAGTTCGTACAATCACTAATCCACAAATAAATGATGAATATAAAATTTCTCCTATTATGGATCTTGACTTGTACACAACTCCAAAAATTGAATTTTGTGTGAAATCTTTACTTAAGGTCGCTTCTTAAATCTTCCAGTCCTAACAACTTCCTCCTAACTTTCCGCCTGCGGCAATTTCCACACAATTTTGTCGGTATCTTAAGCGTTGGTTTGTTAGAAGATCAAAATAACTCATACCCTATATGTAGACTTCCACACAGTGGTACCAAGGTCAACCTAGAGAAAATAACCTTCTTCTTTTCCACTGGAGTTGTCACAACCACTCACAACACCACACACTCTTCCAAGTCTCTGAAATCTTAAAACAAAACTTCAAAGAAACATTAAATCCAAAATGAATTTCCTCAATCAATCATGAATCTATGAAGATAAGATTCAGATCCATGCAACAATGAAAAAAGAATGAGAAAGAAGATGAAATAAATTGACTGCAAGTTGTTCAACAAAGATTCAAAACACTTTGAAAATGTAAGAATAAGTTGTTTGTGTGTTTTCAAATCATCAATGAAAGAATGTGTTTTCTAACATTATGAAAGGTTGAGAGATAAAAATAATTTATATGTAATGGATATGAAGCACAAAAAGAAGTGAAATTTTCATGTTTGATTAGAGTCAAGAGCATTTGGTGATTTGAGTCAAGAGCATTTGGTGATTTAAGTCAAGTTAGTAAAGTAATGAGAGCTAAGATCAACGCTTAAAAAGAAAACTCATTTTCTATGATTCAACTCAAGGCATAAGCATGTTTCAACTCACAAGTTTCATGATTCAAGTCAGGACATGGTTATGATTCGACTCAAAGCAGGGAATGGCTGGAAAAGGATCTTTGATTCGACTCAAGCATACACTGTGATTCGACTCATAGCTGCATGATTCAAATATAGAGCTAGTTGTGATTTGACTCACAAGCTTTAGTAAGATCACATTCCTCTCTTCCTTGTTGATTTAACTCACAAGCTCTAGTAAGATCTTGTTCCTCTCTAGTAGAATCGGATATGCATATTAAACTGTAGCAAACCATATTATAATGATAAGAAAATAAATCGAAATGGTTTTCAAAATGACGTTTGAACTATGTCACACTATGATAATCAATTTTCAATGAAAGAGGAAACAAAAATTAGTTAAGACAATTAATCAAACACTTGATGTGTAATAAATATCAAGCTGAATTTCCTTTATGTTGAAGATATGAAAAACCAAATGCAATTGTTTAGATTGCAATTATTTTTACAAAATAATTTGAATTACTTCAACACAAACAAAATTTTCAGTTTATCAAATTGTACTTAAGTGTATTATCAAGTTGGATATATATATATATATATATATATATATATATATATATATATATATATATATATATATATATATATATATATATATATATATATATATATATATATATATATATATAGAGAGAGAGAGAGAGAGAGAGAGAGAGAGAGAGAGAAAACACCAAGATTTGATTAGGTAGTTCCTTAATTTTCCTC